CGCTCCATCCTCTCGGTGTAGAAACTGCGGCCTCCTGTTGTTGTGTGAGCGGAGGTCTGCCCCGTGCACGAGCGGCAGTGCATGAGGAGCGTGCACGAGGGCCACGTGCACGCTCCCAGCAGGAGGCCCTCTCTGCGCCGAACTCAAAAGCTTTCTAGAGTCCAATTTAGCCGCGTAAAAGTCCACCTCGCTTCCACGCTCTCGCCGCTTCATTTATTTATTCATAACCAGGCCCTGCTCGGCCTCACGGCTCTGAGCGGGAGAGGTGCGAGAGAGGAGCGAGAGAGGTGTGAGAGAGGAGCGAGAGAGGTGTGAGAGAGGTACGAGAGAAGAGCGAGAGAGGTGCGAGAGAGGAGCGAGAGAGGTGTGAGAGAGGTACAAGAGAAGAGCGAGAGAGGTGCGAGAGAGGAGCGAGAGAGGTGTGAGAGAGGAGCGAGAGAGGTGTGAGAGAGGAGCGAGAGAGGTGTGAGAGAGGTACGAGAGAAGAGCGAGAGAGGTGCGAGAGAGGAGCGAGAGAGGTGTGAGAGAGGTACGAGAGAAGAGCGAGAGAGGTGCGAGAGAGGAGCGAGAGAGGAGCGAGAGAGGAACGAGAGAGGTGTGAGAGAGGAGCGGGAGAGGTGCAAGAGAGGAGCGAGAGAGGTGTGAGAGAGGAGCGAGAGAGGTGTGAGAGAGGTACGAGAGAGGAGCGAGAGAGGAGCGAGAGAGGATTGAGAGAGGAGCGAGAGAGGAGCGAGAGACGCGAGAGAGGAGCGAGAGACGCGAGAGACGCGAGAGAGGAGCGAGAGACGCGAGAGAGGAGCGAGAGACGCGAGAGAGGAGCGAGAGAGGAGCGAGAGAGGTGTGAGAGAAGTGCGAGAGAGGAGCGAGAGAGGTGCGAGAGAGGAACAAGAGAGGAGCGAGAGAAGTGCGAGAGAGGAGCGAGAGAGGTGCGAGAGAGGCGCGAGAGAGGTGCGAGAGAGGAGCGAGAGAGGTGCGAGAGAGGAGCGAGAGAGGAGCGAGAGAGGAGCGAGAGAGGTGTGAGAGAGTTGCGAGAGAGGAGCGAGAGAGGTGTGAGAGGTGCGAGAGAGGAACGAGAGAGGAGCGAGAGAAGTGCGAGAGAGGAGCGAGAGAGGTGTGAGAGTGTGAGAGAGGCGTGAGAGAGGCGCGAGAGAGGAGCGAGAGAGGAGCGAGAGAGGTGTGAGAGAGGTGTGAGAGAGGTGCGAGAGAGGTGTGAGAGAGGAGCGAGAGAGGTGTGAGAGGTGCGAGAGAGGCGCGAGAGAGGTGCGAGAGAGGAACGAGAGAGGAGCAAGAGAAGTGCGAGAGAGGAGCGAGAGAGGTGTGAGAGAGGTGTGAGAGAGGTGCGAGAGAGGTGTTAGAGAGGTGTGAGAGAGGAGCGAGAAAGGTGTGAGAGAGGTGCGAGAGAGGAGCGAGAGAGGTGTGAGAGAGGAATGAGAGAGGGGCGAGAGAAGTGCGAGAGAGGAGCGAGAGAGGGGCAAGAGAGGAGCGAGAGAGGGGCGAGAGAGGTGCGAGAGAGGCGCGAGAGGCGCGAGAGAGGGCGAGAGAGGAGCGAGAGAGGAGCGAGAGAGGAGCGAGAGAGGGCGAGAGAGGAGCGAGAGAGGAGCGAGAGACGCGAGAGAGGAGCGAGAGAGGAGCGAGAGACGCGAGAGAGGACAGGAGAGGAGCGAGAGAGGTGCGAGAGAGGTGCGAGAGAGGAGCAAGAGAGGAGCGAGAGAGGTGTGAGAGAGGTGTGCGAGAGAGGAGCGCGAGACGCGAGAGAGGAGCGAGAGAGGTGCGAGAGACGAGAGAGAGGAGCGAGAGAGGTGTGAGAGAGGTGCGAGAGAGGAGCGAGAGGAGAGCGAGAGAGGAGCGAGAGAGGAGCGAGAGACGCGAGAGAGGAGCGAGAGAGGTGTGAGAGAGGTGCGAGAGAGGAGCGAGAGAGGGCGAGAGAGGAGCGAGAGAGGAGCGAGAGACGTGAGAGACGCGAGAGAGCGGCAAGAGAGCGGCGCGAGAGAGGAGCGAGAGAGGTGTGAGAGAGGAGCGAGAGAGGTGTGAGAGAGGAGCGAGAGAGGAGCGAGAGAGGGCGAGAGAGGAGCGAGAGAGGGCGAGAGAGGAGCGAGAGAGGAGCAAGAGAGGTGCGAGAGAGGGGCGAGAGAGGAGCGAGAGAGGTGCGAGAGAGGGGGCGAGAGAGAAGCAAGAGAAGTGCGAGAGAGGAGCGAGAGAGGAGCGGGAGAGGGGCGAGAGAGGAGCGAGAGAGGTGCGAGAGAGGGGCGAGAGAGGAGCAAGAGAGGAGCGAGAGAGGGGCGAGAGAGGAGCCAGAGAGGAGCGAGAGAGGAGCGAGAGAGGAGCGAGAGAGGTGCGAGAGAGGGGCGAGAGAGAAGCAAGAGAAGTGCGAGAGAGGGGCGAGAGAGGAGCGAGAGAAGTGCGAGAGAGGTGCGAGAGAGGAGCGAGAGAGGTGCGAGAGAGGAGCGAGAGAGGTGTGAGAGAGGAGCGAGAGAGGAGCGAGAGAGGTGTGAGAGAGGAGCGAGAGAGGCGCGAGAGAGGTGTGAGAGAGGAGCGAGAGAGGAGCGAGAGAGGAGCGAGAGAGGAGCAAGAGAGGAGCGAGAGACGCGAGAGAGGAGCGAGAGAGCGGCGAGAGAAGTGCGAGAGAGGAGCGAGAGAGGAGCAAGAGAGGAACGAGAGAGGTGCGAGAGAGGAAGGAGAGAGGAGCGAGAGAGGAGCGAGAGAGGAGCGAGAGAAGTGCGAGAGAGGAGCGAGAGAAGTGTGAGAGAGGCGCGAGAGAGGTGCGAGAGAGGTGCGAGAGAGGGGCAAGAGAGGAGCGAGAGAAGTGCGAGAGAGGAGCGAGAGAGGGGCGAGAGAGGAGCGAGAGAGGAGCGAGAGAGGTGTGAGAGAGGAGCGAGAGAAGTGCGAGAGAGGAGCGAGAGAGAGGCGAGAGATGTGCGAGAGAGGAGCGAGAGAGGAATGAGAGAGGAGCGAGAGAGGTGCGAGAGAGGAGCGAGAGAGGAGCGAGAGAGGGGCGAGAGAGGGCGAGAGAGGAGCGAGAGAGGAGCAAGAGAGGAACGAGAGAGGTGCGAGAGAGGAATGAGAGAGGAGCGAGAGAGGTGCGAGAGAGGTGCGAGAGAGGAGCGAGAGAGGGCGAGAGAGGAGCGAGAGAGGAGCGACGGCACAAAAAAAACAAATATTGTGGAAACAAATATTTGACAGTATTTACAGTAAAAATCATGTGTGTTGCCAGTTTGAGATGACATTTATCTGGTCTGGGATCTGTCTTTTTTACACACTCACCAACAACACACGAGACTCATGAAGTTTGTATCATTTGTAACTGAAGCTGATTGGCTGACGAGTGTGGTCCTTATTTCACTTTTCTGACTGAAAAACATGATCCACAGATGTGACTGGGCGATATTTATTGTAGACGATAATATCGCAAAAGTGAATTTGACGAAATGCTTTTTCGCATTATCGGCAATTTAAGAAATATATATATTTTTTTTAACTTATATTTCCAACAAATGTTTCAAAGACGCCCATTTGTCAAAAGCCTAAAAAGTCAATCACTGCTTTATTTGAACATTTCAGTAAAAAATGACCTTTGTGGATGTTCTTCCCGTGTTCCTTGAATTATATTTTTAATGTTAATAAATGTTTGTGCATGTTTTGCAAAGATGTGTGAAGCACTTTACAAATAAAAAGCTGTTCTTTTATCGACACTGTCTCTATAGATGCTCTGGCAAAGAAAACACCACAGATCATTTTGTGTAAACATAATTGATTTTAAAGATATCATTATCAGGAGTTGGGGAGATATTTATTTTTGCCCATATCGCCCACAGATGTGACAGAGGCAGAAACTCGAGATCCATGGTTTGTGTTTGAAAGTTTAACATCGGCTGCTTTTCCATTTAACCTTCTGCTTTACTCTCTGACGAAACATGTGGGACACAAATAATATCATAGATGTTCATGGACTGGATCCCCATGTCATCCACACACACACGCACACACACACACACACACACACCTAGACACACACTGCCTACACACACACACTGCATACACACACACACACTGCCTACACACACACACTGCCTACACACACACACACACACACCTAGACACACACTGCATACACACAGACACTGCCTACACACACACACTGCATACACACACACACTGCCTACACACACACACTGCATACACACACACACGCTGCCTACACACACACACTGCATACACCCACACACGCTGCCTACACACACACACTGCATACACACACACACACCTAGACACACACACACACTGCATACACACACACACTGCCTACACACACTCACACCTAGACACACACACACACTCACACCTAGACACACACAAACACACACAGACACACACACTGCCTACACACACTCACACCTAGATTCACACACACACACACACACCTAGACACACACACACACACTGCCTAGACACACACACACTGCACTCGGAGCGTTTCATTTCCTACTCCAATAAAGAGACCAGCATCGACCCCGGGCCCAGCTGTGAGCCCGCTGCCATGGCAACGCCTTTTCACCAACTCCCAACGCCAAAACCAACAGCGCGGCGTCCTGCGGCTTACACCGGATATCACATGTTTCATTCTCCACCACCGGAGAAACACGGACACTCAAACTGGAGCTATATCCAGTTCTGACTCCAGAGAAATACTGTAAAAAATGGACTAAGACCACACCATGATTGTGTGTTGTGTGAGTGTGTCTTGTTGTGTGTGCACGTGTGTGTGTGTTGTGTATGCACATGTGTGTGTTGTGTGTCACTCTTTGACACTTTGAAACACCCAGATCAGATTGAGTCTAATCTACTCAAACTAAAATAATCTTGATAATCCCAGTAGATTATCGCCTCACCTGAGCGCAGTACTGGGACTTGGCCACCGACAGCAGCAGTTTGAGGATGGGCTGTGTGTGTTGCGTGTGTGTCGCGTACGTGTGTGTGTTTGTGTGTTGTGTTTGTGTATTCACCTGAGCGCAGTACTGGGACTTGGCCACCGACAGCAGCAGTTTGAGGATGGGCTGAGACTGAGACACCAGCGGAGACACGGCGTGGATCACTGCGGTGAACTTTGGGTGTGGTCGAATTCCTGAAACACACAACAGCGCGAAGGGTCAACGACAAACTGACAAGACGGAGGAATAAGGTACAAGAGCGTGGATTGGTTGTGTGTATTTTGGTCGTTAAAGTTGCGGTACCAAATTATAACATGGATTCTAACGAGCTTTACAAGACTCTTACTGCCCCCGCGACCCGGCAACGGATAAAGCGGAAGTAAATGGGTGAAAACAGCGCTGTCCATGACTGGCCTGTAAACGGCTCCTGTTTTGGATTTAGTTTTCGTGTGTTATTTTTGTGTGTGTGTGTGTGTGTGTGGCAACCCCTCCTGTCTCAAGATCCCTGTCCTGTGATTGGAGGACCGCTGGCCCTCTTACTTCCTGGATGTCTCCAGCTCCAGGCGCTTTGATTTATGTCTACTTATCATTTACATTCCTCTTACTAAAATACTTGCTTTGCCATTTAACGTCTTTTACATTAAGTTAGTAACACCCTATCCAGATATTATTATAGCTCCATGAGGGCTCCTTGGACTTCATGATGCTGTTTAGTGACCGCTACAAACTATTACACTCAGGTCGACTTGACTAACCGCTCAAGGTATGCTGAAATAAAGTTAGCATCATTAGCATCATTAGCATTTCAGGCTAATATACCTCCTGAGATAACAAATGTATACCTCCTGAGATAACAACCTCCTGAGATAACAAATGTATACCTCCTGAGATAACAACCTCCTGAGATAACAAATGTATACCTCCTGAGATAACAAATGTATACCTCCTGAGATAACAACCTCCTGAGATAACAAATGTATACCTCCTGAGATAACAACCTCCTGAGATAACAAATGTATACCTCCTGAGATAACAACCTCTTGAGATAACAAATGTATACCTCCTGAGATAACAAATGTATACCTCCTGAGATAACAAATGTATACCTCCTGAGATAACAACCTCCTGAGATAACAAATGTATACCTCCTGAGATAACAAATGTATACCTCCTGAGATAACAACCTCCTGAGATAACAAATGTATACCTCCTAAGATAACAAATGTATACCTCCTGAGATAACAAATGTATACCTCCTGAGATAACAACCTCCTGAGATAACAAATGTATACCTCCTGAGATAACAAATGTATACCTCCTGAGATAACAACCTCCTGAGATAACAAATGTATACCTCCTGAGATAACAAATGTATACCTCCTGAGATAACAACCTCCTGAGATAACAAATGTATACCTCCTGAGATAACAAGTGTATACCTCCTGAGATAACAAATGTATACCTCCTGAAATAACAACCTCCTGAGATAACAAATGTATACCTCCTGAGATAACAACCTCCTGAGATAACAAATGTATACCTCCTGAGATAACAACCTCCTGAGATAACAAATGTATACCTCCTGAGATAACAAATGTATACCTCCTGAGATAACAACCTCCTGAGATAACAACCTCCTGAGATAACAAATGTATACCTCCTGAGATAACAACCTCCTGAGATAACAAATGTATACCTCCTGAGATAACAACCTCCTGAGATAACAAATGTATACCTCCTGAGATAACAACCTCCTGAGATAACAAATGTATACCTCCTGAGATAACAAATGTATACCTCCTGAGATAACAACCTCCTGAGATAACAAATGTATACCTCCTGAGATAACAACCTCCTGAGATAACAAATGTATACCTCCTGAGATAACAAATGTATACCTCCTGAGATAACAACCTCCTGAGATAACAAATGTATACCTCCTGAGATAACAACCTCCTGAGATAACAAATGTATACCTCCTGAGATAACAACCTCTTGAGATAACAAATGTATACCTCCTGAGATAACAAATGTATACCTCCTGAGATAACAAATGTATACCTCCTGAGATAACAACCTCCTGAGATAACAAATGTATACCTCCTGAGATAACAAATGTATACCTCCTGAGATAACAAATGTATACCTCCTAAGATAACAAATGTATACCTCCTGAGATAACAAATGTATACCTCCTGAGATAACAACCTCCTGAGATAACAAATGTATACCTCCTGAGATAACAAATGTATACCTCCTGAGATAACAACCTCCTGAGATAACAAATGTATACCTCCTGAGATAACAAATGTATACCTCCTGAGATAACAACCTCCTGAGATAACAAATGTATACCTCCTGAGATAACAAGTGTATACCTCCTGAGATAACAAATGTATACCTCCTGAAATAACAACCTCCTGAGATAACAAATGTATACCTCCTGAGATAACAACCTCCTGAGATAACAAATGTATACCTCCTGAGATAACAACCTCCTGAGATAACAAATGTATACCTCCTGAGATAACAAATGTATACCTCCTGAGATAACAACCTCCTGAGATAACAACCTCCTGAGATAACAAATGTATACCTCCTGAGATAACAACCTCCTGAGATAACAAATGTATACCTCCTGAGATAACAACCTCCTGAGATAACAAATGTATACCTCCTGAGATAACAACCTCCTGAGATAACAAATGTATACCTCCTGAGATAACAAATGTATACCTCCTGAGATAACAACCTCCTGAGATAACAAATGTATACCTCCTGGGATAACAACCTCCTGAGATAACAAATGTATACCTCCTGAGATAACAAATGTATACCTCCTGAGATAACAACCTCCTGAGATAACAAATGTATACCTCCTGAGATAACAACCTCCTGAGATAACAAATGTATACCTCCTGAGATAACAACCTCCTGAGATAACAAATGTATACCTCCTGAGATAACAAATGTATACCTCCTGAGATAACAACCTCCTGAGATAACAAATGTATACCTCCTGAGATAACAAATGTATACCTCCTGAGATAACAACCTCCTGAGATAACAAAAGCAAAACAGTGCATTTCTCATGCTGTGTGTTTTTGAGAGCAGCTGCAGAATGCGACAGCTCTGACAGTGAAAAGAGCCGTGTTTTTGAAGTAGTGACAAAATTCACGCTCTGTCTTGTACTTTGTGGAGTGAGTTTGAGAGCGTCTTTAAAGGACTTAATACCACAGTGAGAGCTGACAGTCTGCCGCCGCCGCCGCCGCCGTCTCTCTTTTTATTGGCTTCACTAATAAGAAAATCTGAAGCGAGCGTGTCGAGAGGCTCTTGTTGACTTGATAATAAAGATAGTGAGCCAAATTCTAACTTGCGCTGTGGTGTTTTGTGATAAAGAGCGCGTTGCATTATTTAAGATGTGGCTTTGAAACGGTTTTTCTCGTTATGTAAGAATGCAATGAAGTGATGGACTTATGTAACCAAAGCTGTAGGTCTATTCGTCTGGGAAAGAAAGTTATCCCATTATACTGCTAATGCTAATGCTAATGCTCCTAGTGCTGCTACTGCTAATGCTACTGCTAATGCTACTGCTAATGCTAATGCTACTGCTAATACTGCTACTGCTAATACTGCTACTGCTCCTAGTGCTGGTACTGCTACTACTACTGCTACTATTACTACTGCTACTTCTACTGCTACTACTATTACTACTACTACTACTACTGCTACTGCTACTACTATTACTACTACTGCTACTACTACTACTGCTACTGCTACTACTACTGCTACTACTATTACTACTACTACTGCTACTGCTACTGCTACTACTACTACTACTGCTACTACTACTAGTACTACTACTGCTACTGCTACTACTACTAGTACTACTACTGCTACTGCTAATACTGCTACTGCTAATACTGCTACTGCTCCTAGTGCTGGTACTGCTACTGCTACTACTACTACTCACAACTGTGCATATAAAACTGTATTTATTGCTCTTATTATATTTAACAAATAATAAATGTTTAAAAATGTATATAAATTGGACCAATCTCTTCACTTCCTGATGTCTGTGTGGACTGACCAACAATAACGACAGAGACTCATTACCGAGTTCATGTTTGATTTGTGTTCTGAAGAGTTTCAGAAACACGGTCCTGAGCTTTTGATCAGCGGAAAAACAGACGGTTTCACTTTAATGGTGGTTTTCGGTAAACTGCTAGCTTGATGTGTTTTCTCCCATTCCCAGGCCTCCATGTCACCTTGAAATCGTCGTCATGCTAATTAAGATATTATCCCTTTTTTTTCTAGTTACATGTTCGATCAGGACTGACTGTCTCTAAACCAGGCATGTCTTGGGGCGGCATGGTGGCAAGGTTCTGGGTTCGAATCCCGGTCGGCGCAGGAGTGGAGTTTACATGTTTTCCACACGTACGCATAGGTTTCCTCCAGGTGCTGCGGTTTCCCCTACCACCAAAAACATGTGTGTTTGTGAGTGCGATTGTGAGACGATGGACAAGTCTATGTCCCAGCGGGCTAAAATTTGAGATTATAAACACAAGTTCACAGTGTCATCCATCCAACTTCAGCTTGAGCAATTGTCGTAAAGCTCAGAACCTCTTGAACTTATAAATATTCATCCTAAATTGTTTTTGATTAGATGTGACTCAATTGATGTAATGTGTCTGTGGTGAAATAGTAAACTTCAGTATCAGGCGAATGTGAATCAAAATAGAAACATGCTCCTTCTTACCACACGAAAAAATCCACTAAATTCACTTTAAGTCTGTGTAGCGGCCCCTGGACTGGTCTGGTGAACTGAAACGGCCCTTGTACTAAAAGGTTTGACTCTTTAACGCTTTCTCTGACCCAAAAAAACCAAGATATTTGCGACCGAGTGTGGTGATCCAGTCCTGCATGTAAGTAAATTCACGCCTCATTTCCAACAACAACAGTCCCAGCAGTATTCTCGGGAGATGACTAAAAGCTGTTGTTGTCGGCCATCTTGTCTCCTGTCTGTTTTCTCGCTGACAGTCCCTTTCTCTCCCCGACTGTCGCACATGAAATCTGTCTCTGCTCATCCAGCGACACATCACTCCAGTGCTGCTGCTCCATCTCTCTGAGCCGGGGCCCATCCTTCAGCGGGACGGGCCCAGTGGAGAGGCCCGTGAAGGGGGTAAAGATGGAGCGTGTGTGGGTGAATGAAGAGAGACGCGTGAGGAGGTAATATGTTCCTGTCACAGTCGGAGCGCTCAGACCCTCTCCATAAACCTGAAGGAGATGGATCGCATGATGATAGAAACTGGAGTTGATACAAAAATACAGAATATTTTATCGACAAATTCGTTTTTTGTCATGACTTTTTTACTGCTTTGGTTAGACCAGCCATTCCCAAAGTCAGTAACACCGAGGCCCCCTTAAAAATCTGACGGGTCTGCGTGGCCCCCAAAATAATAATCAAGAAGACAACATTAAGAATAGGCTCTTCTGGTTATTTTATTTTGGGGAAATAGCCTCTGCTACAAACATTGTAATACAAAAATGATTACAGTGGATTATTCAAGTCAAATAATGAACACAAATATTTTAATATTACAAACAAAACATTATAAATTTAACATTAAATAATTATATATTTTTTAAATTTTTTGTATGACCTCCCGCGGCCCCCCTGCAGTACCCTCGGGCCACCAGGGGGCCGCGGACCCCACTTTGGGAGACACTGGGTTAGACGTTAGCTGTATTGTTTTTTTTTACATGAGAAATGATTGCAAAACCACTGCTTTATATTGACCAATGATTGTTCTAGATTTATTGTGGAATCAACAATATTTTAATGTCTTAATGTCTTGATGGACCACTACTGTGTAACGAAGGGATTTTGTGATTTTCTGAATGTTGGTTCTTAACTAGAACAAGTTATCAGATATGATATCGGTACCATCGGTAGTAGAGTAGCAGAAAGTAATAGTAGTAGCAGTAGTAGCGGTACCCCAACAGTAGCTAAATTAGTACTACCATCAGCAGCAGCAGCAGCAGCAGCAGCTGCAGTAGTAATGGTAGTAGCAGTAGTAGTAGCAGCAGCAGCAGTAGTAGTAGTAGTAGCAGCAGTAGTAGTAGTAATAGCAGTAGTAGTAGTAGTAGCAGCAGCAGCAGCAGTAGCAGCAGTAGTAGCAGTAACAGCAGCAGCAGCAGTAGCAGCAGCAGCAGCAGCAGTAGCAGCAGTAGCAGCAGTAGCAGCAGCAGCAGTAGCAGTAGTAGCAGCAGTAGCAGCAGCAGCAGTAGCAGCAGTAGCAGCAGTAGCAGTAGCAGCAGTAGCAGTAGCAGCAGCAGCAGTAGCAGCAGTAGCAGCAGCAGCAGTAGCAGTAGTAGCAGCAGTAGCAGCAGCAGCAGTAGCAGCAGTAGCAGTAGCAGCAGTAGCAGTAGCAGTAGCAGCAGTAGCAGTAGCAGTAGTAGCAGTAGCAGTAGCAGTAGCAGCAGCAGCAGTAGCAGCAGTAGCAGCAGTAGTAGCAGCAGTAGTAGCAGTAGCAGTAGCAGTAGCAGCAGCAGCAGTAGCAGCAGTAGTAGCAGCAGTAGTAGTAGCAGTAGCAGTAGCAGCAGCAGCAGTAGCAGCAGTAGCAGTAGCAGTAGCAGTAGTAGCAGCAGCAGTAGTAGTAGCAGCAGCAGTAGTAGTAGCAGTAGTAGCAGAGTGTCCAGTGACTGACCTAACGTGGCGTAGTAGAAGGGGAAGTCCCCCAGGTAGGAGGAGTACTGCGGCAGAGCGTAGAGGCCCCCGGGGTGACTGTTCCACATGAGGGCGCTCCGGGACCCCTGCTCCAGCACCCGGCCCTGGATCATCTGCAAACACAAAGACACGTCACCAAACAGGAAGTACTACACAACAACATGACCATACAAACGCACAACTTTCAATCTCATATGTTCTATTCATACACACAAGGCAACCTACTGAACGGAGATATTAAGTTCATAACACGAGTAAAAGCCGATAATCCCAGAACATTCCGAAGAGAAAACATTATCAAATCTTCCGGTTGTGTTGAGCTAAGAAGACCTGGTTTACCAAAGTCAAAAAGAAAAAGTAGTAGTAGTAGTAGTAGTAGAAAAAGTACGTATTTTGCCCTCTACATTCTCGAACACATGTCTAAAGAAAGGGCCTGCTTTATTTTGCCAGAAGCCAGCAAAAGCTCCATAGCAACCGTTGCCATGACCAAGACGAGGACAGAAACGCACAGAAGTCTGCACGCGGCACGGTGGCTGAGTGGTTAGCACTCTCGCCTCTCAGCAAGAAGGTCCTGGGTTCGAATCCCGGTTGGACCAGGGCCTTTCTGAGTGGAGTTTGCATGTTCTCCCCGTGTCTGCGTAGGTTTCCTCCGGGTGCTCCGGTTTCCCCTACCACTAAAAATATGTACAATAGGTCTGGTATGTGCCTCCTGTACTGGCCCCTCCCACTCCCAAAAATAACAATTGTAAACCGCTTTGAGACTCCGATGTGCAGTGAAAAGGCGGTATATAAATAAAGATTACCTACTTACTTACTTACTAACTTCCTTCAGCAAATATTCAGAACGCAGTGCTCTGATTGGACCGTGTACATTTTAAACATGTAGATTCTTTCGCTAAACACATTTGCAAAGTTTCTCCCAAACATCCGTCTGCAGCAAAACGCAGAATGAACTCAAACTCTCCCTTTTTAAACCAATGACAGAGAAAGTGCTGTTCCAGTCGGTTCATGGTTCCATTTAAAAACCATTTATCGTCAGCCTTGACTCCAGCACCACCAGAACAAAACCTGCATTCACAAGTTTTCAGATGTACTTCCGTGGGCACAGGGAGAGAACATACTTTCATCTTCTGCACGGATTGACAAGATAAATGCTAAAGGTTTTAAATCCTTTTCACAATTTTTAATACCCAAAGCATATTCAATCAAAAAAAGGTATTCTCACCTCATTGTGACTCATCCACAAGTTGGACTTTTTTAAGCAAAGTTGAAGGTGTTTTGTGTAAGTATTGACTGAAGTAGCAAAGAATGTAGAAATCTCTGCAAGATTCAAAGAAGGATGAGAATTATTTGAATTTGAACTGTCCACGTTCTGCGGCCGCTGCGTGGCCCTAGGTCCTGGATCTACAGCCTGAGTCCTGGGTCTACAGCCTCAGTCCTCGTTCTACAGTCTGAGTCCTGGGTCTACAGCCTCAGTCCTCGTTCTACAGTCTGAGTCCTGGATCTACAGCCTCAGTGCTGGATCTACAGCCTCAGTCCTGGATCTACAGCCTGAGTCCTCGTTCTACAGTCTGAGTCCTGGATCTACAGCCTCAGTCCTGGATCTACAGCCTCAGTCCTCGTTCTACAGTCTGAGTCCTGGATCTACAGCCTCAGTCCTGGATCTACAGCCTGAGTCCTGGATCTACAGCCTCAGTCCTGGATCTACAGCCTGAGTCCTGGATCTACAGCCTCAGTCCTGGATCTACAGCCTGAGTCCTGGATCTACAGCCTCAGTCCTGGATCTACAGCCTGAGTCCTCGTGCTACAGTCTGAGTCCTGGGTCTACAGCCTCAGTCCTCGTTCTACAGTCTGAGTCCTGGATCTACAGTCTGAGTCCTGGATCTACAGCCTCAGTCCTGGATCTACAGCCTCAGTCCTGGATCTACAGCCTCAGTCCTCGTTCTACAGTCTGAGTCCTGGATCTACAGCCTCAGTCCTGGATCTACAGCCTGAGTCCTGGATCTACAGCCTGAGTCCTGGATCTACAGCCTCAGTCCTGGATCTACAGCCTGAGTCCTCGTTCTACAGTCTGAGTCCTGGATCTACAGCCTCAGTCCTGGATCTACAGCCTGAGTCCTGTAGTGCTTAATCACTAAAAGCTTCATAAATTACTTTGGGGCCGTCACTCTGCAACAAACCACATCAAAATTCATCAGGAGGAGGCGGGGCTGTCGGCACCTCTTCCGCCGCAGTCCTTCAGGCCAGTCGATAACCATTTGCCTCGAACGAACGGATTAACTGAAAAATCCTTTCTCCTCTCTATCAAAACACCGACGTACGATGTTAAAATCCGGTGGCTCTTCTACCTTTGAGCTCGGGGAGGATATTGGGTTCGCTTCAGCGCCTCCGCAGCCTTTGGCCCGGGACGTGATGGACGACTCAATCTCACACTCGCAACGGCCACAATCAACCAATTAGAGTGTGATAGATAAATCTGGGCTGCTTTTACAGGCCGGTCTATTAGCTTCTCTGCTCTAGGACGTCTATAGAGCAGAAATGACCTTGTGATTGGGCAAGTGCGGCCGCTCGCTGACAGGAAATGTCACGTGATTGGTGGAGGCTTGGTTCTGCAGTGGAGACTGGGTCCATAAAAGGTTTACTTTGGAATGTTCTGGAAACTGCTGCAGGTCCCGAGTGTCTCTGAAACGGTTGTTGTTTTGTGTTTTACAATCGTTATTTTTCTTACTTTTTCTGCTTGAGATGTTGGTGCGGTACGGTGTTCATAGCCTGGTCGCACCACACCATAGTACTAATTACATTTGCTCCATTGACTCCGTGTACCGGTGGGAGGGGTTAACTCCTTTTGCAGATTGAAACGATGGGATCTGAGTTTACTGAGTATGTAATGCGCCCGAGTGAGTTGTTAGCATTTAGCCTAGCTTTAGCCATCTCCATTGCCGCTAACGGAGCCCGTGGGGAGTAGCGCCACAATCTTTGCCAGCGATTACATTTGCTAAACATTCCTCTTGCTCCGGCTTCAGTTTCTTGATAGAACCAGACCAGAATACTTTACAATCGCATTCTTCGCCAAACTACGACCTTCCCGTTCGACACAAACTCTTGACGTCACCCACAACTAACTACAACACCCGCCTCCCGCGCTCTCTGATTGGTCGGATGGAATCACAAACACAGGGACCAGACCCAGACGTTACATGTAGGACATGATGATTGAGCGGAGAGTACGGATGGATAAGACCAGGCTACAGTGTTCATGGTTTTACACTGGTCCAGACCAGAGAGGATTCATGGTCCGAACCAAGTGGATCTGGTGATCAACTTTTTGAATAATACAAATGAAGCATTTAGCATTTTACTTTGGACCAGAGCAGAGAAAATGGTTTGAACCAAGCGGCTCCACCTCTGCTGCTGTGACCTGAAGGACTGTTGTATTTTATTTTTAAACTATTATTAGGTACTTTTAGAATGATCTATTTTTTTGTTTTGATTGTTTGGATGGATGTGTTTCTGCAGCTCCTGGACACATGCATTTCTCAGGGATCAATGAAGCATCTATCTATCGGTCTAAATGGCCTTAGACTCTCCTACATGGGCAAGGAACAACTCATAAACTCATAAAAATCTGGAACAGTCTTCCTGAAGATGTGAGACAGGCCTCCTCTCTGACAATGTTTAAAACCAGGTTAAAGACGGTTCTGTTTAGCTGTGCATACAACTGAGGGATTTTATATTTTTATCTTTTTTTTTAATGTACTGTGATTATTTATGATTTTAATGCTTTCTTGTTTTGTTCAGCACTTTGAATTGCCTTGTGTATGAATTGTGCTATACAAATAAACTTGCCTTGCCTTGCCTTAAACCCAGTCAAAAATGAAACCTCAGGGAGACCCAAGATGAAAGAAGAACCTCACTGTGGGTGTGACAAGTCCTTCTGGTCCAGACCCAGACGAGAGCCGCTCAGACCAGTTCGCATAAGTCCGTCCTACACTACACTATTTCTCCGCACATTTCACCTGGACGATTGATGAGAGGCTGCTCGGCGTCGGCGTGTGGAAGCAGAGAAGTGAATGTTGAGCAGGACATTTGTATCCGTGTCATGAAGCGCCTCGGAGCCCCGTCCTCTGCATGAACAACAGGCCCCGCTCAATCACAGAAGAGGCCTTTTACAGACGCCGTTCCCCCAGACGCCGCTCCGTAATACTGTTAATAAAGTCAATTCGCACCACGGAGACCAGATTTAATTTGTCAACACGCATTCTCACCTGCGCCGGGACGTCTGTGGTAAATAATATGATTTGTGCTGAAAAGGGATTTCTATTTGAATCGTGTTGTCAATATCAGAGATGACCTTTAGATTAAGACGGAGCAGAGAATGAAGAAACGGCTGCAACACTTTACGTGCGGCTGGATTTGACTGAGCGACTATTTACTTAAGCATTGAATCTGTTTTAAGGACTCTGTGAATATTGGCTGTGCTCTGATGTCTGTGAGGGAGATGGAAACTTAGACGTAATCGTTCACACGTGTTGTCATTGTTGCTAAATATCTGATTTCTGAACATGATAAAGCGCTTTGGGTGACAACATTACTTCTTACTTACTATAGTTAAAGCTGCAGGCTCTGTGTGGACCTTAGGGTTAGGGTTGCTAGTGCTAGTGTTAGCCTTAACGCGGGAGAACAGAGCAGAGCTAGCTTTTATCCGTTTTTTCTATTTTAGCTTATTTTATTTACTATTATTACTTTCTTATAATCATCTTCTGTTACTTTTTATCTACAATTTACAATAACAATTTATAATAACGAATCTACAGCACTCATACTGTTTGAATTCCAATGTAGTTTTTTCTGAAAATGGCAATGATTCTGATTCTGAATGTCTCGCAGCTCATGCTCGGCTGTGATTGGTCGAGAAGCCTCAGTCTACTTCCCCCAGAATGCCGTGCGCTTCTGGCTCGGCCTATTTTCTATCCATATTGATCACACCTCTTCTGTAGCAGTAGGAGTAGTTTATTCTTTATAGCAATATATTGTTTTCTCGCCCAGCCCGACTCAAAACTGGATTTAGAAAGAAAATATCAAAATATAAACACCAGGATCACAGAGAGACTTTTTTAGCCCAGAATGATGAGTGTGAGACAAGATAAGATAAACTTTATTGATCTCACACAAACAGCTCAAACAGAGCTCGAGGAGTTTACTTTTCAACCTAAATCACAGGTGTCAAAGTCAAGGCCCGGGGGCCAGATCCGGGCAGCGAGACCATTTCCAGAGGCCCTTGAGATGATAATTGCATAAATATTATGCAACAATGGCACATTATCCATTACTGAGAAAACAACCATAACATTTAATTCCATAAGAAATAAAGAATTTCCCAATTTTCTTATGAAAGAACCGCCCTCTCCACAAAACTCTCTGGTCTTATTTGACGAGCATGAATCAATCAATCAATCAATCTTTATTTATAGGGCGCTTTTCCTGCACAGGGCAACACAAAGCGCCTCACAGTCCACACCACACAATGCACAAATCATCACCATTAAAATACAATATCATCACCAGAATGATTGACAGTTGGGAGGACCAATAGTCTCGAGGATCCACCCAAAAGTAGAACATCTTCCAGTAACCTTCAATATTTGGTCCAGTTTTGGTTCAGTCACAGAAACTGAACTAATTCTAATCAGAAAAGAATGTCGTATCCAACTAATGTGAAACAAGTCATTTATTTAGATACCTTCATGTTCCAAAAAACATTTAATAAATAAAACCGACTTATTTTTTCGGCCCCTGACCAGCCCTTTCTTTTTTTTTCATTCTGCCCTCAAACAAAATAAGTTTGACACCCCTGACCCTAAATCAAAAGGAACCAGAGCGAGTTGGAGCAAAACTTCGTCTATGAGCACTTTCCTGTGGGGCGTCATTGAGCTAGCGGGTTAGCATCGTCCATCTTTGGTGTGGGCGGAGCTGACAGAATGACCGATGACCTGTCACTCACCTCCAGAGTGGTCAGCACGATCTTCTCCACAGACGAGAAGTAGGCCTCCCACAGGAACTGCGTCTGCTGCCTCAGGGACAGGATCTTGTCCTGGTGGATGGAGCGCACCGTGGTCGGGATCTGTGAACACAACACGGTTTAGAGAGAGGGTCTGTGAACACAACACGGTTTAGAGAGAGGGTCTGTGAACACAACACGGTTTAGAGAGAGGGTCTGTGAACACAACACGGTTTAGAGAGAGGGTCTGTGAACACAACACGGTTTAGAGAGAGTCTGTGAACACAACACGGTTTAGAGAGAGGGTCTGTGAACACAACACGGTTTAGAGAGAGGGTCTGTGAACACAACACGGTTTAGAGAGAGTCTGTGAACACAACACGGTTTAGAGAGAGAGTCTGTGAACACAACACGGTTTAGAGAGAGGGTCTGTGAACACAACACGGTTTAGAGAGAGGGTCTGTGAACACAACACGGTTTAGAGAGAGGGTCTGTGAACACAACACGGTTTAGAGAGAGTCTGTGAACACAACACGGTTTAGAGAGAGGGTCTGTGAACACAACACGGTTTAGAGAGAGGGTCTGTGAACACAACACGGTTTAGAGAGAGGGTCTGTGAACACAACACGGTTTAGAGAGAGGGTCTGTGAACACAACACGGTTTAGAGAGAGTCTGTGAACACAACACGGTTTAGAGAGAGTCTGTGAACACAACACGGTTTAGAGAGAGAGTCTGTGAACACAACACGGTTTAGAGAGAGGGTCTGTGAACACAACACGGTTTAGAGAGAGGGTCTGTGAACACAACACGGTTTAGAGAGAGGGTCTGTGAACACAACACGGTTTAGAGAGAGTCTGTGAACACAACACGGTTTAGAGAGAGGGTCTGTGAACACAACACGGTTTAGAGAGAGGGTCTGTGAACACAACACGGTTTAGAGAGAGGGTCTGTGAACACAACACGGTTTAGAGAGAGGGTCTGTGAACACAACACGGTTTAGAGAGAGGGTCTGTGAACACAACACGGTTTAGAGAGAGGGTCTGTGAACACAACACGGTTTAGAGAGAGGGTCTGTGAACACAACACGGTTTAGAGAGAGTCTGTGAACACAACACGGTTTAGAGAGAGGGTCTGTGAACACAACACGGTTTAGAGAGAGGGTCTGTGAACACAACACGGTTTAGAGAGAGAGTCTGTGAACACAACACGGTTTAGAGAGAGGGTCTGTGAACACAACACGGTTTAGAGAGAGGGTCTGTGAACACAACACGGTTTAGAGAGAGTCTGTGAACACAACACGGTTTAGAGAGAGGGTCTGTGAACACAACACGGTTTAGAGAGAGGGTCTGTGAACACAACACGGTTTAGAGAGAGGGTCTGTGAACACAACACGGTTTAGAGAGAGTCTGTGAACACAACACGGTTTAGAGAGAGAGTCTGTGAACACAACACGGTTTAGAGAGAGTCTGTGAACACAACACGGTTTAGAGAGAGGGTCTGTGAACACAACACGGTTTAGAGAGAGTCTGTGAACACAACACGGTTTAGAGAGAGGGTCTGTGAACACAACACGGTTTAGAGAGAGGATCTGTGAACACAACACGGTTTAGAGAGAGTCTGGGAACACAACACGGTTTAGAGAGAGGGTCTGTGAACACAACACGGTTTAGAGAGAGGGTCTGTGAACACAACACGGTTTAGAGAGAGGGTCTGTGAACACAACACGGTTTAGAGAGAGGGTCTGTGAACACAACACGGTTTAGAGAGAGTCTGTGAACACAACACGGTTTAGAGAGAGTCTGTGAACACAACACGGTTTAGAGAGAGAGTCTGTGAACACAACACGGTTTAGAGAGAGGGTCTGTGAACACAACACGGTTTAGAGAGAGGGTCTGTGAACACAACACGGTTTAGAGAGAGGGTCTGTGAACACAACACGGTTTTAGAGAGAGTCTGTGAACACAACACGGTTTAGAGAGAGTCTGTGAACACAACACGGTTTAGAGAGAGGGTCTGTGAACACAACACGGTTTAGAGAGAGGGTCTGTGAACACAACACGGTTTAGAGAGAGGGTCTGTGAACACAACACGGTTTAGAGAGAGGGTCTGTGAACACAACACGGTTTAGAGAGAGTCTGTGAACACAACACGGTTTAGAGAGAGAGTCTGTGAACACAACACGGTTTAGAGAGAGGTCTGTGAACACAACACGGTTTAGAGAGAGTCTGTGAACACAACACGGTTTGTCTGTGAACACAACACGGTTTAGAGAGAGAGTCTGTGAACACAACACGGTTTAGAGAGAGGGTCTGTGAACACAACACGGTTTAGAGAGAGGTCTGTGAACACAACACGGTTAGAGAGAGGGTCTGTGAACACAACACGGTTTAGAGAGAGGGTCTGTGAACACAACACGGTTTAGAGAGAGGGTCTGTGAACACAACACGGTTTAGAGAGAGGTCTGTGAACACAACACGGTTTAGAGAGAGGTCTGTGAACACAACACGGTTTAGAGAGAGGGTCTGTGAACACAACACGGTTTAGAGAGAGGGTCTGTGAACACAACACGGTTTAGAGAGAGGGTCTGTGAACACAACACGGTTTAGAGAGAGGGTCTGTGAACACAACACGGTTTAGAGAGAGGGTCTGTGAACACAACACGGTTTAGAGAGAGGGTCTGTGAACACAACACGGTTTAGAGAGAGGTCTGTGAACACAACACGGTTTAGAGAGAGGGTCTGTGAACACAACACGGTTTAGAGAGAGGGTCTGTGAACACAACACGGTTTAGAGAGAGGGTCTGTGAACACAACACGGTTTAGAGAGAGGGTCTGTGAACACAACACGGTTTAGAGAGAGAGTCTGTGAACACAACACGGTTTAGAGAGAGGGTCTGTGAACACAACACGGTTTAGAGAGAGGGTCTGTGAACACAACACGGTTTAGAGAGAGGGTCTGTGAACACAACACGGTTTAGAGAGAGGGTCTGTGAACACAACACGGTTTAGAGAGAGGGTCTGTGAACACAACACGGTTTAGAGAGAGGGTCTGTGAACACAACACGGTTTAGAGAGAGGGTCTGTGAACACAACACGGTTTAGAGAGAGGGTCTGTGAACACAACACGGTTTAGAGAGAGGGTCTGTGAACACAACACGGTTTAGAGAGAGGGTCTGTGAACACAACACGGTTTAGAGAGAGGGTCTGTGAACACAACACGGTTTAGAGAGAGGGTCTGTGAACACAACACGGTTTAGAGAGAGGGTCTGTGAACACAACACGGTTTAGAGAGAGGGTCTGTGAACACAACACGGTTTAGAGAGAGGGTCTGTGAACACAACACGGTTTAGAGAGAGGGTCTGTGAACACAACACGGTTTAGAGAGAGTGAACGGTCTGTGAACACAACACGGTTTAGAGAGAGGGTCTGTGAACACAACACGGTTTAGAGAGAGGGTCTGTGAACACAACACGGTTTAGAGAGAGGGTCTGTGAACACAACACGGTTTAGAGAGAGGGTCTGTGAACACAACACGGTTTAGAGAGAGGGTCTGTGAACACAACACGGTTTAGAGAGAGGGTCTGTGAACACAACACGGTTTAGAGAGAGAGTCTGTGAACACAACACGGTTTAGAGAGAGAGTCTGTGAACACAACACGGTTTAGAGAGAGGTCTGTGAACACAACACGGTTTAGAGAGAGGGTCTGTGAACACAACACGGTTTAGAGAGAGGGTCTGTGAACACAACACGGTTTAGAGAGAGGGTCTGTGAACACAACACGGTTTAGAGAGAGGGTCTGTGAACACAACACGGTTTAGAGAGAGGGTCTGTGAACACAACACGGTTTAGAGAGAGGGTCTGTGAACACAACACGGTTTAGAGAGAGGGTCTGTGAACACAACACGGTTTAGAGAGAGGGTCTGTGAACACAACACGGTTTAGAGAGAGGGTCTGTGAACACAACACGGTTTAGAGAGAGGGTCTGTGAACACAACACGGTTTAGAGAGAGAGTCTGTGAACACAACACGGTTTAGAGAGAGGTCTGTGAACACAACACGGTTTAGAGAGAGGGTCTGTGAACACAACACGGTTTAGAGAGAGGGTCTGTGAACACAACACGGTTTAGAGAGAGGGTCTGTGAACACAACACGGTTTAGAGAGAGTCTGTGAACACAACACGGTTTAGAGAGAGAGTCTGTGAACACAACACGGTTTAGAGAGAGGGTCTGTGAACACAACACGGTTTAGAGAGAGGGTCTGTGAACACAACACGGTTTAGAGAGAGGGTCTGTGAACACAACACGGTTTAGAGAGAGGGTCTGTGAACACAACACGGTTTAGAGAGAGGGTCTGTGAACACAACACGGTTTAGAGAGAGGTCTGTGAACACAACACGGTTTAGAGGAGTTGTACACAACGAGAGAGAGTCTGTGAACACAACACGGTTTAGAGAGAGAGTCTGTGAACACAACACGGTTTAGAGAGAGGTCTGTGAACACAACACGGTTTAGAGAGAGGGTCTGTGAACACAACACGGTTTAGAGAGAGGGTCTGTGAACACAACACGGTTTAGAGAGAGGTCTGTGAACACAACACGGTTTAGAGAGAGGTCTGTGAACACAACACGGTTTAGAGAGAGTCTGTGAACACAACACGGTTTAGAGAGAGTCTGTGAACACAACACGGTTTAGAGAGAGGTCTGTGAACACAACACGGTTTAGAGAGAGTCTGTGAACACAACACGGTTTAGAGAGAGGTCTGTGAACACAACACGGTTTAGAGAGAGGTCTGTGAACACAACACGGTTTAGAGAGGGTCTGTGAACACAACACGGTTTAGAGAGAGTCTGTGAACACAACACGGTTTAGAGAGAGGGTCTGTGAACACAACACGGTTTAGAGAGAGGGTCTGTGAACACAACACGGTTTAGAGAGAGGGTCTGTGAACACAACACGGTTTAGAGAGAGGGTCTGTGAACACAACACGGTTTAGAGAGAGGTCTGTGAACACAACACGGTTTAGAGAGAGGTCTGTGAACACAACACGGTTTAGAGAGAGAGTCTGTGAACACAACACGGTTTAGAGAGAGTCTGTGAACACAACACGGTTTAGAGAGAGGTC